TCACCTCCCGGAAGAAGGCGGTGTTCCTTCCCAGGGGGTCGTCGGCGTGGGCTGCGTGGATGTCAGGGTAGAAGGAGCTGATCACGTAGTCGAGCATCTGCACACGGATATCGTTCCTCCCGACACTGGGGCCCTCGCGCCCCGTGAGTGCGTCCGCAGGCTTAAAGATCTCAAAAGATCCAAACCTGCTGGGGGGACCGAGTTCTGACAGGTGTGGCGTGGCCCAGCTCTGGCTGGGACCATAGTCTCCCAGCAGGACTATGCTTGCCCCCAAGGACAGACAGACTCGCCTCCCAGAAGGGAGGTGGCCGTGGAAGCAACAAGGATCTGAGAGCTGTCCCTGCCATGGAGGCCTGAGACGACAGGAGTGGCTGTCAGCTGGGGTGCTGTGGCATCGAGGCAGTGGAGTAGTGTAAGCTCACAGGACAACCTATCACCCTCCAGAGGGCCAGTGATGTCACAGGGAGGTGCCACAGGGTCTCTGCGTAGTGGCCCAGAGGAGAGGAGAGGAGTCACCAGCCCATGGCCCCAAGTCTGCTTTGAAGGGCAGGCTGCTCCCAGGAATGCCTACAGCCTGGCGGTGGTCCCAAGTGTGTGTAACCTGCCTTTTCAGCCCGTGCTCAGCCCAGCTGCCCCAGTGCACATCACCCACAAGGCTGTGGTGTAGGTGGGGCAGGGGAAACTGAGCGCGTCACCTCTTGGGAATGGGGCTCTGCGGAGCCATTACCTTAGGAACGTGGGAGCGATGCGCAAGACAACCGCGCACTTCTCAGGCTTCGGGTTCCCATCGTAGAAGACGTCCCGCACAACTGTGGAGTCAGACGTGATGCAGGCACCGGCCCTCGTGGTGGGGATGCCCAGGTGGAACATGGCCTCACTGCACAGGAACTCTCGGATGCTCGACCGCAGGACCTTTCGGCCGTCAGCCTGCCTGGAACAAGCCACAGAGGGCCTCAGGGCGGGGGCGCGCTGCCATAATGCATGCCCAGCCCTGGCACCCTAGGAGTCACAAGCGGAGTGCCAGGAGCATGTGTGTGGCCTGGCCCATCCAGCACCACAGGCCAGACTGGCATCTGAACCATGGGTGGGTCTCAGACCTACAGCCTTCGCAGAAGTGGGGATGCCCCAGCTGCTAGAAGCAGGTGGACCCTGCAGGGTGTTCCCAGGAACCAGGGCTCAAGGGCCACGGCCACAAGCGCCTGGGCATGGGTGAAGGACACACAGACATGGTAGCCATGGGCTATCTCTGGAGAACAGTGGAGAGGGGACAACTGTCCCGCACTAAGTCTGCTGTCCTTGTGTATCTCCAGGGTGGGAGGACAGGGACGGCTGAGTGGCAGCAGGCGGGGGCCCTGGCCCAGGAGAGCCACTGTGTCTTACACCAAAGGCTGGACACAAGCAGACAGCTGGCCAGTCACTGTACCAAGTTGGAGCCCACAAGCAGGTGGCCCAGCCTTGGAGGCCTGGCCAGGTGGCGCACAGGGTAGCGCTGGGCTTAGGAGTGGCAGCGTCACAGCGCACACCTTGCAGGAAGCACCTGTGAGCTCCCCAGTGGGTGGGCAAGGGACACAAGTGGCCACCTACGCCTAGCTGCCTCACCTGTGAGAGGGGGAGGCAGGTTACCAGCTAGCTGAGGGCGGTCCTCGGGCCAGCTGCATGGTCTCTCTGTGGGCTCTGCAGGACTGTTGTCCCTCTTCCAACAGGCCAGCCCCATCTGCTGAGTGGCCAGGCAAACCCTCCCTGTTGGGCCCTGGGAATGTCACCTGAGCCTGCCTCTGATTCCCATGGCTGAGCAGGAAACTAATCTGAAACCTGACCAAATTGACCCCTGTCACTGGGCCATGAGAAGTCCTTCTGGATGCCCAGGGCAGGCAAGCAGGGTCCCCCCACCACCACCACCACCACTGCAGTGGACAGGACTCCCTCTTGGGTAGACGGTTAAGAGGAGCCATTTCTCTGCAAGTCTGACGCTTGGGAGGCACAAGGGTATGTGCAAGCTTGGGGGTGGGGGGAGGTGGGGCTGCAGTGACCTTGGGAGATATGGTTCTCTGGGGGTCCTTAGCAGGAGGCTCTTACCCCAGGATGCACAGGTGGCAGGCTAGAGACAGATGACCCTTTTTAAAGACAGCAGTCTAGAAAAGTGACTTAAAGGTGATACTTTGAACATAAATCAAGCAAAGTGCCCTTGTAACTAAATTGTCTCAAGTTGAAGATATAAAACCTGATACAGAGCTCACTCCCTGGGAAGGGTGCTTCTGCTCAGGAAGGGACAGCAGGGGGCTGGGGAAGGAGCTCAGGGGGCCCTGGGGCTGGAGCATAGCAGAGCCAGCTCTGAGGCTTTCTCCCCCAGAAATGGGGCAGGGAGGACACATCCAATGTGCCAGGGGATGAGCTCTGGGAGTAGGTGGCCAGACATGGGGACTGAAGTGTCTCTGACCTTAAAATTCCACCTTTTGTGGATTTTCTTGGCTGTTCACCCATCGCACAGATGTCAACCCAGAGCACCTCTCCGGGTGGGTGAGTGCAGCGTCTAGAGGGCGCTGTCCCTTCTGTCGGGTTCCACCCTGGCCCCCAAACAAGCTGTGTCCGGTGCAGCCTAGACTACCACTTCTGGCCCGGCGAGCGGCCGTGCTGCGCCCCCACATGGGGCAGAACGCTGGCGGCTCTGGAGTCTTCACTGGGGTCAGAGGCCCTACAGGTCAGAGGTCCCCGTGTGCCAGCCAGGGGCGCCCTGACCAGGCCTCCGGGCACACGGCGGGGCGGGGCTCTTTCTGCCCTAAGGCCCCGGGTCCACTTCGTGGCGGGAGCTGCCGTCCACAGCTTCCTAGCGCCTGCGCAGACGCCTAGGTCTGATCCAGGTCCCGCAAAGCGCTGCGGGGCGGGCAGCCCCCTCCAGAAGCACCCCGGCAGGCACTTCGAGGGGTCCCCGAGCCCGTGCGCACCTGGAGAAGGGCGTGGGGCCGGCGCCCTTGAGCTGCAGCTCCCAGCGCTCGCCGCCGGCCGGGCACACCTCGCCCAAGTACATGGCAGCGCCGTC